GAATTTTTCTCTTAAATTTGATTCTGTAATGTAATTAGTTTTTTATGCTGCTCTATCCCAAAAAGTGTATCCTTTAAGAATATGTAATGAAAATTAGTGGTTTTAAAAAAATATGCCCCCTTTGATTTGATGAATTTCTGACTCGTTACCATTACCACTTACCAGCATTTAAATAATACGCTATTGCACGGTTAGTAATAAATATTATATTTACTTAGCCGTACTAATATAATACCTCGTATCACTCTTTCCATTATCTTTTTAAAATTAATTCATTGCTCTATTTTTTCATATGTTATTTTTTCTAACAAATAAGGCAAAGAAATTCAAAATAGGATAGATGTTCATAATCTCATTCATATGTTTTTTGTAACAAGAATGATAAAAGATGCCCTTTTTTTAGAGGGTTGGACTCCTCGCCTCACCCCCTTCTCCCACAATTTAAAAAGTTTTACTTGGCACCATTAAGGGGATGCGTGTGCAACATCTTGGTTGTCGCAAGTAAAAGTTATGCGCGTTTTACTTTCAAAAACACTCAGGGAATAATTCATGAGGGGGGGGGGGCTGAATACAACAAAATGTGATGACCGTTTGGCACACCTTCAAGATGTAGGCAGGACTCTAACACCATTCCCCTAAAAATAGTTCAAAACCGCATAAGTGGGTCTGAACAGACAGACGGACGATCGGAGAAAACACAAACATATCACATTTTTTTATTAATTAAGCTGTAAAGGTATAAATTGCCTATTTTAGATATTGTTACATAGAATCCAGTGGCGTAGACAACATTTTCAACCATCGTCCAAAGTTCCTACGTCACTGGAAAAATATCTAAAATAAACACTTTTTCTCTTTTTTCTATCTTACATGGGTAATAAGATACGATAACGTCCAAAAAAGTGAAACTTTTCGTTTTCACCTTGTATATCGGAAATAAAGCTAGCTAGATTGATTCTGTTTGTCGTATGAAAAGTTTCACGAAAAGTGGCACAGGCTCGCAAAAACCGCATCTTTAAAAACAGCCGAGATACACTGCAGTGTCAACTAAAATAGGACACACTGTACATTTGCAAAATTTTACCGAAATCAAGATACCCGTTTTGCCATTTTTTAGCGGATTTTCTAAAAGGAAAATAACGCTATCAACCATCGTCCAAAGTTGGTATTTTTTAAATGCAACACCCTGTATACGTTTTTTTGCATTCTTTTTCTTGCTTACATTAAAGTATTACAACCTATATTTTTTTATCTATATAATTATATATTATATTTTTCAAAATTTTTAAACGACATGTTTCTACCATCAGCCATTTTTATAGATTGGTATTAGCTGCCCTAATTACCATGGATATAATAAGCAAAACAAAATCTTCACGAATCCATGGCCTACTATTTAAAAATTGTAAAAATAGGCTAAAATTAAAAAAAATAAGTATAGGTTATGATACAATGTAATCAGGAAGAAAATCAAGAACAATTGATGTTAAGATATACAGGGTGTCGCAGTTAAAAAAACCAACAATGGGTCAAATTTCAGAAATGGTGGTCCAAACATTTTTTGACTACGTCACTGGAAAAATATCTAAAATAGACACTTTTTATCTTTTTTCTATCTTACATGGGTGATAAGGATAGCTTACCAAAAATTCAAACTTTTCGTTTTCACCTTGTATATCGGAAACAAAGCTAGCTAGATTGATTCTGTTTGTCATATGAAAAGTTTCACGAAAAGTGGCACAGGGTCGCAAAAACCGCATCTTTAAAAACAGCCGAGATACACTGCAGTGTCAACTAAAATAGGACACACTGTACATTTGCAAAATTTTACCGAAATCAAGATACCCGTTTTGCCATTTTTTAGCGGATTTTCTAAAAGGAAAATAACGCTATTGTCCGTCTGTCCGTCTGTACCACTACTAGTCCTCCAGTTTAAGCTTTTTCGTTGTGGTTTCTTTCTTATACGGTGTAGCCCAGTCCAGAATGACAAACGTTTATTTGGATTGGTCACTTCGTCCCCGAGTTATTACTGATTCTGTGCGAGGAGAATGCGCTTTCGTCGGTCGCGAGTGACCATGTTTTTAACTTGTTTTTTTTTGTAATTAAACCTGACACAATTTTGGAAAATGGGTGGGCATCTGAGTACACAGAAGAAACATTTTTTAACACTGCATGGGATGTATCTAAGTCAAACCGATTAATTTATCAGCATAGCCATCAACGTGTAAAAAATTGCTTAAAATGATCTCAATGATCGCTATAGTCACATAGCTCAAGCTAGAAAGCAAAAAATAAAATATCACGAGACCTAAAGTATTGAGAATTATGAGCACTTACTGTAGCTCCAAAAACTTAACATGTACCTACTGAAATAGTTCAAATACTCAAGGGTGAGTGAAAAGAAAAACGTCTCGGTATATCAATTTTCATCTTACAAATTTTGAGTTTTACCTTCTCAAATTCGTAAGAGACACATTAGAAACACAAGGTATTTCATAAATGTTCCCGAAAAGCTCAAATCTGAGAAGCATCGATGATCAATCAATTCTACCTTGGATACTGAAAACTGAATTGGAAAATTCTAAACCATTCGCGGGTTATCATGTACACCGACAGACGGACGGGCAGAAAATCCAAAATCATCAAACGGCTTTTAGGACCTTGTTAATAAGTAGTGCTACAAGAAATTCATAATTAATTCTATCACTAAATAAAAGAACAAAATTGACGTGCTCTTCCAAAATGTACTTTTAGTTATCCGAACTACTACTGCACTTTTAAGCCCATAATATTGAACTATTCAAGAATCTACCAAGAACCAAAACGACTGGTCTCTTGATCATGTGTTCTAAAAGATACCGTGTTCCACGTTTCCAAAATCGGTAAGCGCAAATTTAATAGAAATTAACATCAAATTGACTTTTTTCTGATTTTGTTGTGTAAAGGCGTCCCGGGCTTTGGAAGGGCGTAACGCAACAACGTCGTGGCTTTCTGCACGGCGACAGCTTCTTCTCAAATTGATTTATCGTTCGTATTTGTATGTAGCGCGTAAAAAATTGCCAGGGTAAGCGCAAGATTGATGCTATTTCGTTTTGCAATCTCGCATAGGTTTTCAGCGCGCGGAGATGACCGCCTCGCCCCCTCGCCGATGGCACCAAATAAATAAGAATTAAGATCCGGATTATTAAAATGTCTAAAATGCAGTAATCAAAGGCAAGTCAACGATTACAAGGAAGATGAAGGGGGTTTTAAGAACTTTTGGTTTGTTTAAAATTATTTTTCGTCTCACAATTTATTTTCATTATACATTCGCGTTCCTCGCTTTGTGTTATCTTTCCAAGCAGATTGAATTTACTTAGTCGAAAAGTTTTCGTATAAGATGCGTCTTATTCGATTTAAATAAAGTCGTGCGAGTTCTCGAAACTGAAATTATAAAGTGATACAAAAAGGGGGAGGATGGGTATGGCCAAGACGCGAAAGTGAAAGGGTTAAGATCTACGAAGGGGTTGATAATGGAATCAGACTTAGTGTAAATGGAAGCTTAACACTTTCGGTGGTTTCCGGATTGAATACTTAGTACTCGATTCATTGCTTTTAGAATACACATTGGCCACTTCAAGTTTTAGGGCGTTCGACAATGCCTAATGCCCTATTAAGTTATTTGCATTTCCATTTAACCTTTTTTTTCCGTTTCACGTAAGGCTCCGAAAGGGAAAATCAATTGTTAATCGTTAACGTTAACATCTTTTGCTCTTCATCAGCTCTGTTTTTAATGTAATGCTAATGTAATTAATATCCCATTTTCTCTCTTAAGTATATTACACCTCTTTATTAGCATAGCTGATGGTAAATATGGAAAATTTCCCGACAAAGTTGAAAAGTGTATTCTCTAAAGTATATCGAATATCTTTGAAAACGCATATCAAGTTTAAATTTCGACACAAAGTTTTTACTTGTTATCTCTTACGGAAAAAAAGTACACGCGTATCGATTTTCCTAAGGAAATCTAAGCCCAAAAACTTATAAATTGAGTTAGGCGAGTAACTGAGTTTAAGTATATGGATGGCGTCGTTCCGTTCCATCTAAAGATCAGTTCCCACCTACAATAAAAGGAACACATACTTTTCATTGAACCGTGACTTCTGGTGCGGTGATGCCCACACAAATTTTATTCACACAATACTCAAGTAATCGGAGATAAAGAACAAAGTAATCTTACCCGGAAATATGACCTGTTTTCTTCTAGAACATTCGAACAGACTCGCGAACACTCGGGTTTACAATATAAGTAAATCTAATTGCGTTTCAGTTCAGTTTCAACTTCAATGCGTTTGTGTTATGTTATAAATTGTAAGTGATGAATAACATAATTTCTGTTATAAATTAATATATTTTAAGATTGTTAATGGCTATTTAGTTGTAATAACCACGTGACGCTAATGAGATGCTACGTTTTTATGATTAGGCTTAAACCAGACAATGGAGTACTTACTTTATTTGTTCGAACCGTGTCCATGGCATTGAGTATAGACAGGAACGATGTGGTCCATCACAGGAGTTGTGGCATCCTATCGTAGGTCGAATAATGGCAGCTGCGAACAATGAGATGAGTACGTTAGCGTTGGTCATCAACCGTTCCCCTCAATAAAACAATGTGAGCAGATATCGTTTAATAATAAAATTACAAAACCTCTGTACAATTTACAATGTAAACTTATCTTGTTCAATTAATTAACGAATTAATTAGGAGTTTAATCACTCACCTTACAAGCAGATCTTCGTGTAATAATAAATGAGGTGTAACTCAGCTTGAGGTCGGAAGAATAAGCTCCAAAGCTTCTCCACTGTCTGATTCACAGATCCGTCCACTACAGACATCCGATATGACTATGAATTCATAGTCATACTGATTAAAGTGAAGCAAACGGGCTGCGAGAGAGACACTTAGGAGAATCATTGCAGTCAATCTTACGTTACCAAGGTTGAGATGCACAACTCACTTAGTACTATATGCGAAGGTCAGCTGTTCAAGATCTTCCTTTTACTCGTTGTACGCACTATTCACTTGTCCCCCCCCCCCCCACACACAATATATAATACAACATGCAATAGAAGAGAAAAATCCTACCTTTATAAGGCTGCCCTTCTGGAATCTGAAACATAAAAGAAACTTACCTTAAACGGGTGGATTCGTGAAACAAAATCAAAATTAATAATAATGAAGTTATGAAACACTCGTAACCGGAACTTTATTTGTTTTTGTTAACGCCATGTGGAGTAAGTTGACGGTCTGCTTCACCACAAACTCTTTGAATAATTGATTTTGCTCAAGACACAATTATTGAATAGGTACTATAAGAATAATCAGAATTCAAATTGAAAAGCAATGCTTCATTACACGAAATACTTTTTGAATATTCTTTGTAGTTTTCGAAGAATGAGGAGATAGTCATTGAACGTAACAAAGGAAGTATACAGGGTGTTTTTTTGGGAGCTTTAGTTAAAAGTTTCTGGGAAAGTAAAATAGGTAGGTTTTTGAAAATTTGTACTTAGGAGTTACTCTGAAGGCCGAATCGATGTAAAATATTTTCAAAATGGCCGCACTTCCGGAAACACCGGAAGTAGATAGTAACTTCGTTATTTTAAATGGCAACCCCTATTTTTTATTGCTTTTTTGGATTCTACGTGAAATTTCACTTCTTTTGATACCCATATGTCGATATCTACCATTTATGGTTTTTAAGTTATTTTGACTTTAAGAAAAAAAATGGCGGATGCAGATGGTACCTTGATAATTGATTACTTGCAAACGGTTGTAGTCATGGCAACCTATTTTTATCAGTGCATAGAGATGAATAGGGCTTTCTTTTAGTGCACTTAAAAAAAAGTTAAGTTGCGTACGACCGCCCCTATGGATATCCAAATTTATGAAACTTCAAAGACTAAAAACTCAGTTTTTTTTAATGGAATGACCATGTTCTTACTATTCCATGAGATAGAGAATCGAAATGGGCATATTTTGACAATACATGTTCCTATAGCTATCTTTAACAGTTTCTGACTTATTCCCATTTTATTGAATTGACACTATTTTTTTAGGATTTTCTTTTTAGTAGTCGGCCATGATTCTATAACAATTGAATTTTAAACAAATCTAGTGACACTAATCCATCACCCACTGTTATAGGTTAACATAAGTTTTTCAAAAATCGAAAAATGACTCGCAGTGGTTTCACCTATTTTGGAATTTAATTGTTATTTATGGTGAAATGGGCAGAATCGCGGCGCGTGCTTTCCGTACATTCATTCGAAAACTAGAACGAAATTGTATGAATTTTTGAAATTTTGTACCCCTAATGCACTACAAACCGTTGAAGCACAAGTTATACAAAGCTCTACAAGAGAATATTTAAGAAAATGAATTGAATTGCAAATGCAAGATTAACAAAATAAATTCAATGCAAAATATAAAAAACTTTGTTGAAACATTTTTGGTATGGAATTGTTGCTAGAACAGATATCGCATTACCTCTCTTAATTTCCAGACTTATACGTTGTTTAAGAAATTCAGTTGAACGACTCTGTTTAGATTTTTCAAAAATTTTCTGTCCTATATCCTTATTAAATGAGTTATTTATTAATGAATTATTTAGACTAGAACTAGAATCAGTGGTATTAAAGAATCCATTCCTTGATTTGTTTAAAATTCGATTGTTATAAAATCATGGCCAACTACTAAAAAGAAAATGCGAAAAAAAATGGCATCAATTCCGAGATCAATTCAATGAAATGGGAATAAATCAGAAACTGTTAAAGATAGCTATAGGAACATGTATAGTCAAAATATGCCAATTTCGATTCTCTATCTCATGCAATATTAAGAACATGGTCATTCCATTTTAAAAAAACTGAGTTTATAGACTTTGAAGTTTCTTAAATTTGGATCTCCATAGGTGCGGTTGTACGCAACTTAACTTTGTTTTAAGTACAGTAAAAGAAAGCCCTATTCATTCTCTATGCACTGATAAAAATGGGTTGCCATGACTATAACCTTTTTCAAGTAATCAATTATCAAGGTACCATCTGCATCCGCCATTTTTTTTTCTTAAAGTCAAAATAACTTAAAAACCATAAATGGCAGATATGACATATGGGTATCAAAAGAACTGAAATTTCACGTAGAATCCAAAAATGCAATAAAAAATAGGGGTTGCCATTTAAAATAACGAAGTTACTATCTACTTCCGGTGTTTCCGGAAGTGCGGCCATTTTGAAAATATTTTACATCGATTCGGCCTTCAGAGTAACTCCTAAGTACAAATTTTCAAAATCCTACCTATTTTACTTTCCCAGAAACTTTTAACTAAAGCTCCCAAAAAAACACCCTGTAGAGCTGCAGTAAACTGGAGGGTGGTATTTTTATTTGAATCATAAGACTTAGACTACTAATTTCAATTAAGATAACAAATATAAACATATCTACCGAAACGGGAGATATTTGTGTCCCTTTGGAAGATTTGCCTAGTTTGATATTATGTTCTAATTAAAAATCAATAACTTACCCTTTAGCCTTATTAAATCAGCAACTCCTATGGAGCACACCTAACCGAAGTACCGGCGAAATAATACAAACGAGTTCTTTCTGCACTGCCATTATCTAAAAAATAAAGTTTTAAAATATAAGACAGAGCAAACAAATAGGACGAGGTTATTATTATTATTATTCCTGGAAATAAACGCAAGTGAAATTTCGCAATCCAACAACAAAATGCAATAGCTTTTTGTTCGCTTCTTGACAATTAGAAATGAAGCGTTAGTGATATTTTATTTACTTGTCTCCTATTAAGCCTAATAGGACAATCGCGCCTAAAGATAGGGTGCATAAAAAATCATGGACGGACGAGCGGATTTTCCTATGTGTCTGGGTGCGTATGCGTTAACAACCGCCTATTACGGCATGGCGCACCTCTGTCCTATGTGCAAGCGGAAAGGGGATCTTTGAACATAAACATAGTTTTTGGAAATTCGACAAGAATTTTCAAGATAAAGTGTTCTAAGAAGATCTGAAAGGGTTCTGAATTTTCTGTAAAATCTGAAAGTTCTATAAAGGTACGAAACTTCAAACTAGAGAGGAAATTTTAATTTAATTAATACGAGATCGTGGATTTTTGTTATGTAATCGTGGTAGACGTTTTCGGAGCACCTGGGCGCGACTCGTCAAAAACCGAAGTGCGACTACGTTGAAACTCCTGAAACCAATTTTTGACGGTCGCCATTGAGGAAGAAAAGTCCACAAGCAATCAAAACTAAACTACGAGTTAGATTCGGCTGAAATTTTGACAGTAGGCGTCCACAAGAATCTAATGCACGATAGTGACGCCTTCCGGCGGAGAAACTAAGTACTTATCGAACCGGAGCCGGACTCATATTTAATAAATTCGTCAGTTTTCGCCACCGACAGTGGACCTATAATCGACACCGTAGCCAAGAAGAAATAGTACTCTTCCTCAAAAACAAACTGCCTTTTGGAAGCCAATCGAAACAAAACCATTACTTTCGGCATTTATTTTAAAGCATAGGGCATAGTTGCAGAAAGAATTGTCTCAAGTCTTCTTTCCATGATTGGAAAAAGTTTTTTCTACTCTTTGAAATCACTTGGTGGGCCTTCGTACATTACGCTAAGTTTTCCAGTTCCATCCATTCATAATGGAAAAGTTCCTAACTGGGAAAAGACCAACTAGATACATGGTTAGTATCTGCGAAAAGTTGCATAAACTGCTTCTGATCCATTCTAATTTCATTGCAGGGTGTGGATCAATTATTGAGTATAGTGTCCCTGGGAATAATTTCTGATTGCCACACTGCTTACTTATTAGCTTCCTAGCATGTGCTAGGTAGCTATTGCGATAGCCGTTTTTTGAACATTTCAAAATTTCATCAAATGTCGACGTTTTAGACCGTTTTAAGCAACTTTTAAAGAATAAAATTTTTTTCCGTCTGTATGTACGTACGTACGTACGTATGTTTGTTGGCAATTTTCTGAGAAAACGGCTCGACGGATTTTGTTGAAATTTTGTATATATGTTTTAGGCATACCGAACAGAAAAATAACGGGCCGGATTTTTGAAAAAAAATTTTGGAGCGCCGTAACGGCATCGAACTTTTTTTTTCAAATAGCAACCTAAAATTTTTATTCTATTATTTGGAAGACCTTATTTTCCTGTGTACAACCTACAAAAAATTGGGCCGGGTTATATTATCAAAAAACGGAGAAAAAAATTGTCAAAGTCAAAAAATTGTGTTGCATATGTGCAAAACGCAACGATCTTGTTTCTGAAGCAATTTAAACGAAATTTCTATGGTAAGTCCCTTTAATAAAAGCAAACAAAATTCATGCGCAAAAATCGTGTTGCGCATGCGCAGAAATGCAATTTTCTTATTTATGGAACAATTAAAACGAAATTTGGATGGTAGGTCCTCCTAATAAAAGAAAACAAAATGCATGCGCAAAAAATCGAGTTGCGCATGTGCAACATCCAACTTTCTTATTTATGGAGCAATTTTAACGAAATTTGGATGGTAGGTCCCCCTAATAAAAGCAAACAAAATGCATGCGCAAAAATCGTGTTGCGCATGCGCAGAAATGCAACTTTCTTATTTATGGAACAATTTTAACGAAATTTAGATGGTAGGTCCTTTTAATAAAAGAAAACAAAATGCATGCGCAAAAATCGTGTTGCGCATGCGCAGAAATGCAATTTTCTTATTTATGGAACAATTAAAACGAAATTTGGATGGTAGGTCCTCCTAATAAAAGAAAACAAAATGCATGCGCAAAAAATAGTGTTGCGCATGTGCAACATCCAACTTTCTTATTTATGGAGCAATTTTAACGAAATTTGGATGGTAGGTCCCTCTAATAAAAGCAAACAAAATGCATGCGTAAAAATTGACGTTTTAGACCATTTTAAGCAACTTTTAAAGAATAAATTTTTCCCGTCTGTAAGTGCGTACATATGTTGGCAATTTTTGGTTTCAGCTAGGAAGCTATTCTGTCAAGAATTTGACACCTGGTTTTTTCTAATTTTACTGTATGTTGTGGATCTATTAATGCTTTTTCCCGAGAATAATAAATATTTTCAAGTACCGATAAGATGAAGGTACCAAATATCCAGTACTGATAACTCGATCACGTTATTGTGCGTCGTACGTGAAACAATGTAAACTATGTTTCCGTAAAGCGCGTTTTCCATGCTGGAAATTTTTTAGGGTGCAATACGTGCTTTTCTTTCAGTTTCAGGCGACATTTTAGGGCCGCCAACTCTAAGACTGGACATTTAAAATTAATGTTATGTTCTATGTCATTTGATGATCATTTGTGGTGACGGAGGTAAAGGCATTTTCTTCGTGTAAAACGAGCTTAAGCAATTTTCAATAGCAACTAATCTAATCTTCCTACTCACCAACAGGTATAAATATGCATGGCCTGCGTTCTAATATGTATAGTAATTTTTTGCTGATATACCCACAATCAACGTGATGTATTTTAAAGTTTTGTTAGCGACCGTTACACTATTCTTATGGAGCTTTCCTTCATCAGAGGGTAAGTACATTCGGTTTTAGGCATTTGGTTGCAAATCTTAATTTGATTCTAGCTATAAAATGTGGAAGTTGCTATAGCAGTTCAGCTGATTGTCGAAGTGGAAGTTTTACTTCCGAAAGCGAATGTACCAAGGATGAATCGTTGTGCTTCTCGTTGGAACAGGCAAACCGTAAGTAACCCTGATGATATGTCAATGATATTTGTTCTTTAAAATTATTTAGGTCTCGTTTTAAGAGGGTGTGCTGTTAAAAATGGGAAAAGTACGGTTTGCGAGGCTTTAAAAGAGTATTATCCATACAAAAGTTGCGAGGAATGTTCATCTGACATGTGTAATAAATTTAATTACGGAGATTAGTCGTATTCCGCATAATTTGTTGTTATGGCCAAGGTTCCTACCCTACGGAATGTGCAGAACCCACCAGCGAAACGGGAAGATTTGAGGTAGGGCTTGCAGCTCGACGAAGTGGTGGGGAAGAAAGTATTTATAATGGAGCGTTGGACTGGTGAGCATCGCGGTTACCCATTTAAAGTCTGTTATCAAAATGGTGACAACTGTTTTGGCACTACCACCCTTTTTTTTAGACGTCCACCCAGTTTGCTAGATGTTGTTTACCCACTTTTTTTTAGCGCGATACCGTTGTTAAAATCGTCGGCACTAAACTTTCACCATTTAGATAATAAGCTTTAACTACGTAACCGCAATCCCCACCCGTCCAAAGCTCCATTATAAATAAATGCCAAACCACGCAGGTCTTGGCAAACCGGCTACGTTCTTCCTCGCGACCTGCCGCAAACCCCCACCTCAAATTTTCCCGTTTCACTGGCGGACCCTGTATTTTGAGCTAAAATCATCTAAATAAAGCTAATAACGCAGTTTTACGTGTTGTTTATTAATTTACCTAGCTTGAAGAATTTATTTGGAAGGGATACATAAACGATAAATAGACCACATCCTTTTCACTGTTATGGTATTATAGGTCTTGATCGAAGTTTTGATAGAGCAGCTGCCAAAAAAATAACACATTAGCTGATATCCAGGTAAAATTAAAGCATAGATCGACTATTTCACTATGGCTTGAATGGAGGGATTAAATTAAACGTACCTAATGATATATGTATTTGAAATTTTGACTCCACCATTCGTAAAATCTGGTGGGCTACCATATTCCCTTTGTCGGTATCCACTACCAATGTTCTTCTACGGGCTCGCATTTACTGCCAGCCAGCCAGCCAAAGTGAGATTAAAAGCTACCTTTTTACAAATAAATTTGCAAAAATGCGCTAAAAATCTGATCAAATATAATTGTGCATACGACATAACGATCTATTTAAATGCAATACCTATGAGTAGAACCGGGGCACTATCCCCCGCCACTTTTTTATGTCGTCGCAAGGCAAAATTAATTTTATCTCTCATTGTATTCTAATTAAAGGTCTCAACGAAAGGAACCGTTTTCTACTAACTACTGCCCTTCTGTCTGTCCTCTTATCAAAGTACGGGGTAGGGGGGGGGGGGGGAGCGGAGTAGTTTTATCCTTCATGGTACTCTAATGAAAGGTCTCAACGAAAGGAATTAATTTCTACCAACCACAGCCCTCCTCCTCGACCTCTTATCGTGATTTATTTATTTATTATCCCTCTCTTGTTCTGGGCCCTCAACAGGCTTGCGCCCAATTACAGAGTGACCCGCATAATGCGATCGGGTATATTCCCTTATACGTCAAGAACGGATTGTCGGAAGAGGGTACTCATAAAGGGCGATTGAGACGTCTGCAAGAAATGTATTCATTGGTGATGTCAAAACAAAAGCTATTTCGGTTAAAAAAATGCGCTTTATCTCACAATTTATACTTGTTTCTTAATACGTAAGTTTTTTAGGGCTTTAACTTCCATCAAATTTCCCTCGCCCGTTGCTTACAATTTTCTTTCAAGTTCTTTCTTTTGGACCTTTCACGTTGATCTACCTGGATATTACGCATTACCTGTACAATACGTATGAATGATACAGCATTATTTTATTTGGACTCGCCATCTTATTAACGATTGGTTTTGGCGCATCATGCCATAGATGAGTTTCTACATTACCGGCTTGGGAAAATTTTACTACAATTCTACCAACTTTTGCCTTTTGCCACACGAACAATAATTGTTCCTGAATTGTAATCGCAAGTATTAACGAACCGTTTGGAGAAAGTTACTCGTGTAAATTGCTTCGATATTTCTGATTTTACTTTCACTACCTGTGTCGTCTGAAGATACTTTAACCTATGACCTATTTACACTACGTTTTACTCTAAAGAATTGATTAGATCAATAGACATTTAGTTATTTGTGCATCGTAAAGTAATCGATTGTTAAGGATAACCCGTGATTGATCAAAACTTTGATTTTGCTAGTGTAAAGTCATTCGAATTATTGATTCGTACTGAGTATTAATTACAGTTTTAAACATCTGGTTGCCTCCGTGTCAGATGTTAGCATTACTATTTCGCAATATTTTACGTGCAGCGCGATTCACTGCGCCTTTTATTTGTTTGTTGTATTATTTTCTGTTACAGATTTGCAGAACGTGCCCTTTTGAATACAGACGGCCGCTACGACGCGCATTCAAAAGTAAGGTTTGTTATTTTCGACGACTGCTTGGCTCAAACTTTTGTTTACAATAAAATAACGTTTTGTTTTTCCAAAGCACTCTTCCCAAAAAATTGTATTTTTAGGAAAAATGTGATACTGAACCACTATGTGTGATATATCGTTATAAAGAAAAAAAAATAATCTGAAAATATCAAAATCCAATATGGCACCCATAAGAAAAATTAAAGCTTCTATGTCTTCGTAATAGTTATTTATGTATTAAGGGCATAATAGTGATGTTTACATTCTCGAAGGCGACGAGTTTATTTTTTGATTTGCACGATAATTACTAACCTAAATGTAATGCTATTTGGTATGGTTGGAAAGCATTTTTCAGAGCTTTCCAACGACGTATCACACATGGGGGGTCACTATTTAAGATTTAAAAGTTGGGGTGGCTGGGGCGCAGGGGGTTGGAGGGGGTGCGTCGCCAACTATGTCATTGTGATTCCCCCTCCGAATTACCGAAACGGATTTTGATTTTTTAAAATATCTCGTTTGTTTACTATGACATGGGGGGTGGTAAGTTTTCAAATTGCCACCCTGTATATTAATAGGTAGGTAAATCAATAAACATCTCGCAAGACCACGTCATTAGTTTTATTTAGGTGATCTTAGTTCAAAATACAGTCACTACATCAGGCTAAGGAGAAAATGTCTAGCTTCCGTAATTAAATGAATTACACATATCACGTGAACATGACTTGCAATTAGTGTATGCCCTATTGAACCTTTCTAAAATCTCGCACAACGTACCTGTCCCTTGCTTAGAAGCGCACCCTCTTAAAACGTAACCTAAGTAATTTTAAACAGTAAATATCATTAGCATATCGTCCGGGTTACTCACCGTTTACCGTTTCCGCCGAGAAACAGAACGCTTCAGAATACGAACCATTCGCCGTACATGGTTGTGTGTAAGTAACACTTCCCTTTCGACAAGCAGCTGAACTGCCATGGCAATTTATACAGTTTAGAGCTACAATTAAATGAAGACTTGCCATAAAATGCCTAAAACCGATTGTACCTACCCTCTGATGAAGAAAAACTCCATAAGAATAGTGTAACGGTCGCTAACAAAATTTTGAAGTACATCACGGAGATTTATATTAGAAAAAAATAAATACACCTCTTACGACGTACGCCATGGATATTTATACCTGGTGATGAGTACGAAGATTAGATTGGACGCTATCTGGTAACTGCTTTTGTAATAATAATCTGTAGTGGATATTTCGTATCTTCATCTTATCGGCACTTGAAAATAAGTCGCAATTTCAAATTTTGGGAAAAAACACTCACAACATACAGTAAAATTAGAAAACAATTACGGCCAATAGTATCTAATCCAGCCTTCCGCTCCGCACGATTTGATCATCGTATGGTAAGAACGAGAAACAAAAACAACTCATTCATTTTCTATACATCATAAACAAGAGTCGGTAACAACAGCGTGATCGAATTATCTCTAGTCTCTATTTGGGACACCTTCTACTTTATCTTATCGCTATACAAAAATAAGTGTCACAATCGGAAATTATTCTTGGGGTAAACACTACACTCAATAATTGATCTACACCCTGCAATGAAATTAGAATGGAGCATCAGCTTTCCGCGTATATGATATGATCGTATTTTGTTCCTCTCTTGTATTATGGATACTACTTGAGTTACCGCTGTCAGGTATTGCACAAAGCACAATGAATATCTTTCAAAACTGAAAACTTGGCTTAATAATGTTTCAAAACCACCAAATGATTTTAAAAAGTAGAAAAAAGGTACAACTTTTTCCAATCATGAACCCTATTGAACAAAGGAATTATTTTCTACCTATATAAAAAAAAATAGCTGTCTATTATTCCAGAATTAGATAGAAAAACACTACTTATGAAACTATTGCACCAATGATAATGCACGAAATTAGAAAGCAAGACCTGTTCAAATTTATAGTCAGTGGTAGATTTAAAATGTCTCGAAAATAGTTAAAACGTATTTAGAATATTCGTTAGAAAAACTGGACACAGACGATGACGATTTATGGACGATCTTTTTAAACAACACCCTTACAACACACACAATGAACATTACACTACAAATTAATGAATATGTAATAAGAGAAGAGAATTCAACAAAATCATCAGGGCGATCAACGGTTCAGATTAAGTTTTGCATCTAAAATTTATTAAATAAATTCCGACGGCAAATATTTAAACAATTTTGATTTATTCGGCACCAGATTTTCAGAAAAACACGCTAAAAACCATTGTTTCTAATGATTCTTTTTTATTGGCATACATTTGTTACCTCTTCCTTTTTTTTAAAAAACAAAGAAGAAAGCAAAAGAAGTACAAATAAATGAAGAAATGGCCATCTCTTTCTTAAAGTTAAATGGTTTGTACCGCAAAAGCAGTTTATTATGTTTTCTATCAACGCGATGTACGGATGACCTTCTACGTTTAATTGGAATTCGCTTGGATTCCAGAAAACTGTCAGGACTGATCACAAACTCAGAAATTTCTTTCGATGAGAATACAAACATATACCGGGTGGTAAGTAGGAACATAGGAATTTAACATGGGAAATTAGTTTTATGCAATATCCTGCCCTCATGTACATTTTACAGAAAAAAAACTGTAGAGTTTAAAGTTGTTAGAATTAAAAGGTGCATACAAAACTGTTTTTACATGTTTTATTAAGCTTTTGGTATACCCGCAAATTTAAAAATAAATTTCAACATTTTTGTTATTAGTAGCTATTCATAAAACAACAAAAGTCATGGCTATTGCTACTACAATTCATAAAACAACAAAAGTCATGGCTATTGCTACTACAATTCATAAAACAACAAAAGTCATGGCTATTGCTACTACAATTCATAAAACAACGAAAGTCATGGCTATTGCTATTAATAACATAAATGTTGAAATTTATTTTTAAATTTGCGAATATACCAAAAGCTTAATAAAGTATGTAAAAACAGTTTTGTATGCACCTTTTAATTCTGAATTCACGTATAAATTTTTTGCGTAAAAAATTGCACGGCGTGTATCAAAAAATTTGGGGAAGCGGAAAACTGATACAGGGTCGCGAGATAGGGTACTTTTTTGTGTTTATATGAACCGAATTAGTATTTTGATATTTTATCAGGAAAAAAAAACAAATAACAAAGATGCCCATTGTGGCTGCGAAAAATGGACACACTGTATATTAAAATGTAGCAACATCGTTTATGAGCTGTACTTGAATAATTTGAAAGAAAAAATTGTGTATTGTTAATAGCTATTTAATTATCAATTTGTCATAATGTTCTTCACTTTTCTCGCGTGGATAAAGAACCGCAATCGGCAATGGCACACGAGTCAAATACAAGTTTTTGTCAAAAACCGCTCTACGAGCAGGTTATTAGTATTGAAACCTAATATGTTTTCCAAAATAGATCGGGACTGTTAATGTGAAACAAATCGAAGGCGCTTAGAGCGAGATCTCTATGAGTTGCGGTCATTTATTTGAGTAGGTGTGATTGTGGCAACAAAATTCGCACGGAATGGATTCAGTTGCTAAAAAAATTCGTGAAGCCCCCAAAAAAGTTAGTATGCGCTCGTGCCGTCAAAATAAAGGACTTCGAAAGACCTTTCAAACAAGCTATTACTCGATACCACTTGTCATTTAAAATGTTAAGGGAATAACCCTGGGGGGCAAAGGGTGAAAGGGGGTGAAGTACTTTTGGTTAAAAAGTTGTCCCCTTTGACAAATCTCTTGACGTGTCTAAGCGTTTTTCTTTTAATCAGTGGATTTGGATAAATCCATGGTGAGATTTTCAAATGAACACCCTGTATATCAAACCTTTGTTAAATTTCGTGTTGCAGTTATAAAATTTTAAAAAATATTAAAGTGCTTTAATACTTATAAATTATATAATCTGAAGTTTTCGTGAGAATACTTTTTTGGCTCAGGTTAGCGCACAGATATTTTAACAAGTATCGTTCCCTAGTTGAATTCAACGCTTTTTTCAGGTAGACCTCAGAGCGTCTCCCGAATGTGTTTATTCGTTCTTTTGAAAAGTAAATTCCTATTTCGCCCTCTTGAGATGAGCCCACAAATTTTCTTTTGCACATATAGCTAATAAAATTGAATGTCAAAATATGAAAATGGAAGATCAAAAAAGGTAAAAAAGACATTTTGTATGGCTGTCTGAAGAAATTCATTGAAAAATAGACAGATTCGTGCAAAAAAAATGCTGATGGGATTAATGTAATGGTAGTAACATCAGGTAACACATTTCCTGGATACGCAGATGCACCATCCTGTTGAAACCAACAGTTTCCAACTTTTGTTTTTTTGTTGTGTGCAGTCATCGTTGTATTACAACATTAAAAAGTATTAAACATTAAAACATTAAAAGTATCAAAAACAAAATCGGTAAATTTTGGTTTTTCTAGCATATCCTCGGAAGTGATCGGAATTTTCTGGCTTTCTTTACATCAAAATAATAAGTGTTTAATTGCGTGACTTTTCCCTAATTTGATGATCTTCGTATCTGCTATGGTTTTCGGGTTCCACATGATAGGCGTCCTCATCTTGGACACGGTGTACAGGGTGTTTCAAATTGCTTGTTTGCGACGTTTTTCGGGGATATTCTGAGAACTAAACGGAATAGAATGATGCGGTTTGCACTTTTCCGAATACTTTTCAAAGCTGCCTAGATTGTCGATGTAAATTTTGACGTACAACTTGCGCGAACGTGGCAACAGCGCCAAAAGTCCAAAAATGCAATTAAAGTTTTTGCTTTATAACTTAGTTATGTGTGGGAATATCAAAAAAATTATATTCTTAGTAAGGAAGTATATTAAATTTTTTTCATAGGTTCTTCAAATCGAATGTATAATAGTTTATATTTTCTTGCACCAATAAATTCCTTATTTTTTCAAATTAGGAAAATACATAAGTAGTTATCAGCATGTTAGAAGTTAAACTCTGGAATCAATATAAATCAATCTAAAGTCTGAGTAAACCATAGACATAGCTTTCAGTCAGATTTGAAATAAATGAGCAAATTATATTAAAATACTGTTATTTTGAGCATCTCCTGAAATATGAACTATATATTCCACGGCGTCCTTGTATTAATCCACATTTTTAAGACTAGATAACGATTTTCGAAATGAAAAAATAAAGAATTTAATGGTGCAAAAAATCTTATCTTAAAAACTAAGCAGGCTATGGAAAATGTAAAAATACCCCCTCACTACGAGACTATTTCTAGGTTTTCGTCTTTCTACTTTTTTGATATTCCCACAAATAAGTTATAAAGCATTTTTGGACTTTGCGCTGTTGCCACGTTCGCGCAAGTCATACGTCAAGATTGACATCGCCAATCTAGCAGCTTTCAAAAGTAACTCCGAGAAGTGCAAACTGCATCATCTTTTAGTTTTCAAAATATGCCAGAAAAACATTGAAAACAAGCAATTTGGAACACTCTGTACAATTGATTTGTTAGTTACAAATTGAACTTAAAATTGTAGTTTTTCATACTTTATATTAACTAAAATATTTGTAAATTTCTCTCCTACAAAAGATTTGCCTTAAAAATGTAACACCCTGTATAAATATTTCAATCAATAATTCTTCTCTCTTCTTAAAGAAAATATTGGTTGTTTCTTTTATTTTTACTGTTTCATGTTTAAAAATCTTTAATACTGTCAAGTCATATTATTAAAAGCCTTTTGATTGAATAACTGAATAATAGAGTTTACTGTCCTACAGACTACAATCCAATTATTATAATAAGACAAATTAACATTATAGTAGTGTATACAGGGTGGTGACTTGCGTAACACATCATAGGGATTTCAATGTAAAATTCATAACATGCGATTATTGGCTCCCCAAATTATTTTAGAGCAAAAATGTATTAGTTTTTTGTAGAAAAAAATTTTTTGCGCCAATCAACCGTATTAGTTTTCAATTTTTTTCATATAAAGACGGAAAATTGGAAAAATAAAACCCGCATCTTTTTCAATAATAATCTGCGATGCCATGGAATTTTCTAAAACAAAAAGATATCCAGTTATCAATTAGCAGCAGTTCGAAATTGATTTTATGATCGACTTGGTTACTGGGTAACTTATTCGAACATTTATTGTAAATTGTTATATTAGGAAACCATTTTTAGTAATTTGGTCTTTCTTTATGTTGAATTTGTTGTTCTAAATATAATACTTTTTGATAGAATTTGATTTGTTTTATAGCAGACATTCCATGGCATGACGGATATTGGCGTAGTTTTTGTATTATAAAATTCCATGGCATCACAGATTATTGGGG